AAAGAAATAGGAAAATAAAAAAGAAATAAAAATTAAAAGATTAAAAAGGAAAAAATTATTTCGATTAAATTTTATCGATAAAAATTTTTTGGTTTTCTCTTTATTGAACGAATCTCTCATTTAATTACTAATTTTCATTCCTATTTTCCTTCCTATTTCTTTTTTGGTAGAATAATTTCTTTTTCGGCAAAAAAAATATCGGTTATGTCATTTACAATTTTCAAGTAAATAAATAAATTACAGTAAATTATGGTGGAAATTTAAATATTATTGCAAAATCGTTTCATTTCAATTTCAAACAAATTTTTAAGAAACAAACATTTTGGTTTTTTTTCGTTTTTTCATTTTTTTTGCACCGTAATTTAATTTTTATCTCATGATAAAAGCTATTTTTTTTTGCAAATTTTCCTTAATTTATTTCATGTTTTTGTAATAATAATTAAATTTTTATTGTAATTTACTTATTTACTTGAATTCACCTTTCTGATATATGATAGGTTTATAATTTTTCGTTAATAATTGTACCAAAATTGGGAATTCACATTGAATAAAAGTACTCAACAGAACTGATATTATGACTTATTTCCAGAATTACTAAGTAATTCATATCTATTTAGTAATATTATGAATAATCAATATCCAAACTATCCTACTATATCTAATACAAATATAGAGTTGGTAATTAATTTAATTGATTATTTGCACGACTTTAGTTGTAATTAATTAATCATAAATGAATAGTTACTTTATTGATAAAATATGACAAAAAAAAAGTATTGCTTATTAATTTGATAGTTTACAAATTTTATTTGTATTATATGGCTGAACATTTTAGCAATTCATTTCTACTATGTCCATTAGTATCATCAAATTTCAAGTAATTTTTTCGAACTATTTATCATCTAATCGAACTATTTATCACCAAATATTATAATCAAGAATTGTTTTAAAAGAAATTGATTGAAACTTTATTCGTTGCTTTTATTTTTTTTTTCATGTGAAACTGGAAAAATAATGATCAAGAATGAGATTCAGTAAAATAATTTAATTAAAAAATTAATTCTATACAATTCCATATGATAAATGAATAATTTTGAATTGCAAACGATTCGTTCTTTCATTTTTTTAATTCATCAAAATTTTAATTTTATCATAATTTAGTAGTTTTAATTCATTAAAAGTGTTAGCATACAAAATAGGATGCTATATCTAAATTATCATAATCATCACATACGTACGTACGTATGCTTGCTATTACAACACTTAAAATACGATATAAAATACTGTGTAATCAATTTCCAATAAATACAATTATGATATTATCTACAGTTTAAAAAAAAAAAACAAAAGAATTATGAATGCATATTTTATTTTACAAATTTTTTTTTCTGGTATGAAATTTTTCAAATTTTCTTTTTTCCTACAAATCTTTTGTGCTTCTGAAGAGATAAATTTACAATTAATTTTACCAGTTTTTTTTTTTTTTTTAATCAAAAAATTGTTGTTAATTCAAAAGGAAAAAATGTCAATTAAAATCCAAACAACTTAATGATTCTAATTGTTAAAAATAAAAAGTTGACAATGCATTTAATTCCTTTTCTTTTTTTTTTTCATGACAGAAAAAAATCGTCTTTCCAATTTCATTTAATAAAATTATCATTTCAATACTGTTAAATCAACAATGATGATAAATTCTTTGTTAGAACAAACTGATAATATCATTGAAATGTAAATTTTAGTCTTTTTAAAAAAAGAAGCAAAAAAAAAAAAAACAAGAAAGAAAGATAAAGAAAAATTTTAAAATTGCCAATAGCAAGTTTTCCTCATTAATTGATTTCTTTGTTACATTTTATTGTCCAATTTGTGGACAATAAAAAAGAAAGAAAAAAGGAACAAAACTAAAAGCTGAGGCTAAAGTTGTTAAGGATTGCCGGAAGTTGAATAATGAAATTCCAACTATTATGCTTTATGAAAGGTAAATAATTTAGTTATGGGACAAGAAAAACATTAGCCAACTTCATTTTCATTTCAATTTATTGAATTATCACCTTCGATTCCTTTCCATTTCCACATTAAATTCATTCAGATTAGCAGAAAAGCACACACGCGTATAATACGTACACGCATAACACGTACATAGGCGTATGCTCAAACAGTTTATAACACGTACATACACGCATAAATGCATAAATGTACGCACTAACACGCATAATACATACGCATATAAACCTACAAAATTATTCATATTAAAATAACATACACATTCATATATTACGCACACACCTATGCACGTCATACCTATGCACGCACATACGTTTGAATACGTAGATATTTACGTGTGAGCGCATCATACGTTTAGATGTGTGGATTTTCATATATATATATATATATGGTCACACCCACAATCATTCACTACTGAAGTGGTTTTGTTTTATTAATCAACCCATCAAATGACCGTAAAAGATGGTGGAAATGAAAAGTTAAAAGAGGTTGTCAACTGTTGTCACCAATGATTGCCGTTATTTCGTCCTTCCGTCTATTTCTTTATTAATCGCTT